TATTATATCACATCATACTATTTCTCTAATCTTAATACTTTTCTGTACTTTCTAAAACCTAAATTAGTATTTTCTGAACTACTTTTCCTTACAATTTCCACTTTAAAATGTACATTTTAAAAAATAAATAATCAAAAATAATGGCCTTGGGAAAAAGAAGTTCTTTGCTGTTAAAGATAAATATCGCTAAAATTCAAATTTTAGATACATAAAACTAATCCATTCAAATAAAAACAACATTCCTTCTTTCGGGGTAGCTACTTCCAATTATATTTTTGTTAAATGGTTTATACTGTTTGAGTTTAGCTGAAGATAATACTAAAGACATTTATATCTCATTTAATTTTATTTCACAGCCTTTTATTTATATACTACCTTTGTATTATTTGTAATATGTTAGGTTTTCCTGTCTGAAATCTTAAAAAAAAATTGCCTGTCAACGTGAGTTTTTTAAAAAGTCCAACATTCCGAAAAATTGCAATTTACCTTAAGTTAAAAGTGTCATTAAATATGCTATTGTTTTCCATGTAAAACACTCTTCATGATGGCTCAGGATTGTGAGTAAATTCCTCTTCTTGCCTATACAGTTGTGCAGAAATATGAGGTGTTAAAATTGTTTCCATACCTTCCTTCTTTAAAATTAAGTCTTTGATCACTATGTTTAGTAGAATTTGAATTGGGCCAAGAACAGTACCTTCAAATATTATAATGTTAAGCCAGTCACATTTTGTAAATTGACCAAATGGGCTTACTTCTGATATAATGGAATACAAATAACACAGATTGCCCTACTGCTAACGTTTTAGGATAGACGCTTCAGAGTCCGCAAGGCCTATGAAATGCCCTGAAAATGAACACAAAATCTTGTATTCATGTGAGCATGTGTATTTTTCTGTGAAACTGTTCATAGCTCATCAGATTCTCAACGACTTTGGGCAACTACAGTTTGAACTAACATTTTAATATAAAAGATGACACCTATACTGGAATACCCAACCAACCAGTTGGACAGTTATTTGTAACTAATACGTGATAAACATCTCTATCGCATTTTATGAGCTTATCCATTGCCAGTTTCTATAGACTATTATGTAGATCTTAAGGCTCTTTTGTGAGTACTCTGTCCCATTTATTGTCAATTTATCAAATGTTCAACAAGCTTGGTACACAGAATTTTTGAGTGGTAAGAAAGTAAATAATTTGAAAGGGTTCAACCTATTCCTCTTTTTTTCCATTATTTTTTCCTGGTAAATATTGAACCAATTGTAACCATTTGAGGAGGGTAATAACGTGAATTACTGCTTTAAATTGTGAAGACTTGTGGGTATAGATTCAGTTTAAAACATTTCTGTTCCAAGAATTTAGAAGCTATTGACAATTTTATGTTAATGCATTTTTCTGTCCCATATATTTAGGATAGTTGAGAAGAATCGATTTGATGCTCTCTAGTTATGCCTTTTTAAATTTGTATTAAAACAATGTTTCCACTGAAATGTTACCTGTACACCAGCCTGTCATCATTGTCTACTTATAGATTTTTATCTCCATTCTTTTTTTATTGTATGTACTTAAGGTGTACAACATGATGTTTTAATATACATATATAGAGTGAAATGATTACTACAGTCAAACAAATTAACATATCCATCACATAACATAGTTTTCTCTTCTGGTGTATGGTACAAGCACCCAAAATCTACTCTCTTAACAAATAAATGTTCAGTATACGACACAATATTATTAACTATAATCCGCATGCTGTACATTAGATCTCTAAACTTATTCACTGCACATAACTGCAAGTTTGTACAATTTAACCTCCCCATTTCCTCCCCCTCCTCTTCCCATCCTTGTTAACCACTGCTCCACTGTTTCTATGTATTTGATTTATTTTGATTCCACAAATAAGTGAGATCATTTAATATTTGTCTTTCTGTGTCTGACATTTCATTTAGCATAATGTCCTCCAGGTTCATCCATGTTGTTGCAAATGGAAGTATCTCCTTCTTTTTTAAAGCTTAATTATCTTCCATTATATATATCTCACAATTCCTTTATCCACTCATCCACTGATGGACACACATAAATTGTTTTCACATCTTGACTATTGTGAATAATGCTGCAATTAACATTGGAGCTCAGATATCTCTACAAGATGCTGACTTCATTTCCTTTGGCATATACCCAGCAGAAGGATTGTTAGGTCATATGGTAGTGCAATTTTTAATTTTTTGAGGAACCACCATACTTTTTTTCATAATGGCTGCACCAATTTACATTCCTACCAACATTGTACAGGAGCTCTCTAATCTGGGAGCATTTAACAGATTGAATTTGAGTAAACATTCCATAATACCATTTGATACTACTGTCAAAATAAATATTTATTTTTTTGCCATATAGTTAATGCAAACTTAGTTATTTTAGTGCAATTATTTGAACAGAAATAAAATATGTGTAATACTTATATCTTACCTGACTCTTCCCTACACATGAAATTTGGAAAGTCAACTATTATAGTAGGAAACAAGATATATGGATCAATATAGACATATGTCAAGAATAAACAAGGGGCAGAAAAATACCTTAGTAAAATATTATGCAAAATTCAAAACATGAAAAATAATATTGTGCATTGTTCATGGCTATATAAACAAATCTGCATCAAAAAATAAACAACAAATTCAGGATAGTGGGTATCTGTGGAAAGAAAGAAAGAAATGAAACAAGGGAGAGGAACATTGACATTTTCAACTATTTATGTACTGCTTTATTTCAATTTTAAAAAATCCAAAGCAGGCCAGGTGCGATGACTCATGCCTGTAATCCTAGCATTCTTGGAGGCTGAGGCGGGAGGATCACTTGAGCTCAGGAGTTGGAGACCAGACTGAGCAAGATCGAGACCCCCATCTCTACAAAAAATAGAAAAATTAGCTGGGCATCGTCGCATGCACCTATAGTCCCAGCTACCTTGGGAGGCTGAGGCAGGAGGATCACTTGAGCCCAGGATTTTGAGGTTGCAGTGAGCTGTGATGACGCCACTGCACTCTACC